TATATATATATATATATATATATATGTGTGTGTGTGTTACAAAATGATGTAATAAAAAACAAAATGCTTTTAAAATTAGAGAAAATTAAAAAAACACAAATTGCGTTAACTCATATTAGCGAAATGGTCCCTCATTTTTGTCTTTGTCAATATCATGCATGAGCGTTTGCCATTTATTTTAAATGTATTGATTTTGATATTGCTAAACAAGAAGGAAGGTCAGAAAGTTGTTTGCGAATTGTTGCTTACATCATACAATAGTAGAAGCCTGTTTTTTTTGTTTTTGTTTTTTTAATCTTCACACCCAATGTGTGTGTGTGTGTGTGTGTGTGTGTGCGCGTGTGCGTGTAAAACTAATAAAAACTAAAACGAAACATTAAATAAAAACTAACCAACCTGTTGTAAAAGCAAAATAAAACTGAATTTAAAAAAACAAAAATCACAACAAAATAACAATGAAAAATACAAAACTATGATCTCCCTGATCAAGGGGGAGATATTTTTTTATCTTAATGTTGATGTATTCCAAAGAAGGTATAACAGTGTAAATAAATGTCTTGAAGCAAATAGTGGCTCTTGACTGAAGTTGACATCCACTGACGGCAACATGTCAGTTCCTGGCTCGCTGCTCGTTCTTCTGGCAGCACATTTCCCATGCGCGCGGTCTACTTGTTTCAGTGACATCCACCCTTAGAACAGCATCGTCAAACTGCACACAGATGCCAGTCCACCTCATGTGCTCCACCATGCAGTATTTTCCTCCTCTTCAGGAAAGTAGAATGTGCTTGTGTGTTTTCAATGGGCGAACCAAATGTTGAGCAAGTCCAGCATGTGTCATGGGGGATTGTCTTCGGTGCTTATCAGAGGAGGTTTCTTGGCTCAGTGCTGCAATAGCTGATGTCAGACTCGTCTCAAGAACTTTGGAGTCACCGCCAGTGTCCTGCTGAAAACGGAACATAGCTTGAAGAGCTCACAAGAAAATGCTGGGATGAGACTCACCGACTTACTGCTTCTCTGACTCTACTTGACGAGCAATTGAAAATGTGTGTCAGTCGTGGAGATGAGTAAGAATTCTCTGGGAGTGTTTCCTGTTTGAAGCTGCAGGACATTGTGGAAAGCGAGACCGGCTGTCACAAGTAAGGAGCGCACATTAGCAAGGTTGCGAGGAAAGCTGAGACCACACGTAAAGTGGTAAGGTTCCCGAGGTGGAGCAAACTTGGGCCAACAGAAATGACCCGAGCAGCAAAGAGCGGATGTGACGTCAGAGGAAAAAAAAGGCAAAAAAAAACCCCCAAACAGATCCGTTTGAAATAAATGCTTCCAGTGCTGTCAGCTGCTGGGGCATGCATGACTCGAGGGGTTTCTGGCCATTTCAAGTGCAGTCAAATGCTGAATGAAACAAACCGTCACCTCTCCCGCGTCTTGTTTTGAATGTTGGATGGACTTCCGCCGCTGAAGAGTGGCGTTGCTCACTAAGAATAGATTGCCGCCGGGCCGCGGTCGAGGGCGCCCCGTCCACTCATTTCTTTTGTGCAGAAAGAAAGTGGCTTTGGCTTGCCAGGCTAGGCACTCGTCGGCATTTGATTCTCATATTAAAACTAAAGTTTGGTGTTTAAGGTCATTTGTAATCCCCAATTATTGCGACATGTCCACTTGAAGAGAAGAGCCCCAAAATTAGACACGATTTAGACGGGAAGTCATTAAAACTGAAGATGGAGAAGGCAAGCAGAGCAGTGATGTGAACCTATCATTCAAGTGTCTGTTCGTCAGGCTACTTCCGACAGGGAACTGTTGGGAACTTGCAACTGCTTTTCTGTGGTCAACGTGTAGTGTCCGTACAACGATTAGCTGCAACATGAGGCCAGGTTTTAGTTGTATAATGGGCCAAAAAATTCTTGTTTGCTTAATTTTTAAGAAAAAAAAGCATAAGACATTTCTTCAGGACTTGGAGCCTCCAAGTGGAGGTACTCATGCACGTGTGATATTGACAGTGGCAGACGTGTCCGTGTTCTTTTCCCAGATGCAACCCAGGAAGCGGGTGGCGGGCAGCTGTTCCGCTCTGACTGACTTCTTTGGGCATTTTTTTATTTTGGAGCTCCGCTAAGCAAATTGTCTTGCACTTGCAGATGGCAGCCATCAGGAAGAAGTTGGTGATTGTGGGAGACGGCGCGTGCGGCAAGACCTGTCTGCTCATCGTCTTCAGTAAGGACCAGTTCCCGGAGGTCTATGTGCCCACAGTCTTTGAGAACTACATCGCCGACATTGAAGTGGATTGCAAACAGGTACATCGCGTGCGCACGTCGGGAACAAATGTGTAATCTGAAAAAGCGCTTGGTACTTTTTATTTGCAACTGTGCAGCTGAACTGCAGCTAACAACAGGAAATGGATCATGGCACCTTCCTGTGCAGGCGTGGAAATCCCCACCCGCCACCCTTTGTACAAAATGACTCATGTCCTCTTTCCTGTTCTTGCTTCCCGCTCCTCAAAATCAGGCACCTCGGATGTGAACGAAGCTGCTCACATTGAAAGACAAGTATGACCTTGGAAAGCCGTAGCTGCCTCCTGCCTGGTGTCACTTGCGTCAAATGACTAGTTTTATCATTGGCAAAGCGATGGGCAGACCTAAAATGAGTGCACAGCGTCCAAAGTGCTGAAAAGCAGGACGCAGCTTGGGAAAAGGCCATATGATAACTGGACAACAGTTGCCGCTGCCTGCCTACGTGTGTTAAGCTTCAATTTGAATTGAGATTCAATTTCAAATAAGACCAACCAGTGCAGGCAGGTCCGTGATTTTGTGTCTGTGGGAATTATACCCCTCCCCTTTTTTTTCTTCAATTACATTGAAAATGGTGTCACAAGATAAGTGAGGTCTTTTAATCAACTTAAGACGACTGCCAATCGTCCGGGAATCTGTGAAGTTGTTTTGAGTAACGGTGTTACTTTTATATTTGACTTGGTTTGAGTGGATCCCACTCGAAACATGAAGCAAAAAGTAGGCATTTGTGGCGATGGCAGCAATTCATCCACGAAGATGGTTGATATGTTACGCGCGGCAATGACGGGAGTAGACGTCTCCATGAAATGAGATCAAGGAGCGTCCTCTCATCCGCCCAAAATCTTTCTCTCGCCTCCCACTTCGTCCCTCTGTCGTTCTGAATTGAGGCACCACACGCGGGACCGTCATTTACTTATGTCAACCCGTGACTTTTTTTTTCTGTGTGTCACTTGACATTGTGCTTCGTGCTCATGCCGGACGCGTTACGCTCACATGAGAAGTGGCTTTTGTTTTTGTAATGTGAACAAGTTCATAAGAAGATCGGAGCCAGACATTGTGCTGTGCAGCGGAGCCTTTGACTGATCCTTCCATACTCAAAGCATGTTGTGTCCTCTGACAAGTACCCAATCTACCGAAAGTGCACTATTGATTGACCAGAAGTTTTCCTCCCCTTTTCCATTCATCAACAGTAGAAACATGGGTTGTCTTTTGGCCAAAATCATCTGTTTCTGAACAGTGAACACAGAAGGTGAGCTTTTTGTGAAAACTGTGCAGCAGACAAATTATTTTTATGTATGTATTTATTTTGCTGTTGTGAGACCACAAATTATAAAGCAACAAAAACAATGCCGACAAAGAGCTTTTGATGGCAAAATAATCATTTATTTACTCAAACAGGCCGTGAGCAACACTTGCTCACTCACTGCTTGGAGTGTTTTTGGAGTCTTCCCCCGAACCCATATTTGAAATGTGCTGACCTGTTTTGTGCCCCCTTTCGGCAGGTGGAACTAGCGCTGTGGGACACGGCAGGCCAGGAGGACTACGACAGATTGAGGCCTCTCTCCTACCCCGACACAGACGTTATCCTCATGTGCTTCTCGATTGACAGCCCCGACAGTCTTGGTAAGTCGAGTCAAGAGTGCGCTTGATGACGAGATAGGCCGCTCTGTCAGCATGCTGCTGGCATTTGGCAATGTTTGCGTCAAATGTGCTTGGACTTTATTCATCCCGTGAGAGAAACACCATCGTCACAGCAGCAATACTCCCAAAATACACCCACAACTCCTCTTAAGAATTGCTGTACAAGCAAAGACAGAGAGCAGCATTAAGGGGGAATTCAGAGAAATCTCATTCTAATCGAAAAGCTGGAAACAAGATGAAACTGTTGCCTGTTGGCACATGCTCAGCAATGTTCCCTCTAAGCTGCGCAACTGCGCACCGGTCGCACACTCTTAGCGCACAAGAAGACCTATCCAGCGCAGTGAACACACTGCAAATGAATTCGATGTGTCTTAACTTTTTTTTCTGTGTCAATTTGCTGTGTAATTCAGTGAGTGACAGGTGTCCAGCCAATCGTACGATACGATGCAATGACGCCATGCAGGCAATCACGGCACTGATAGTACTTGCGCATGTGTTCTCCTCATACACGCTACATAACAATAACAGTGCGGCGGAGATAAGTGACGCTAATGCTAACCCTTTATCATGGCGAAATGAGCCGGGCAGTGACTGTGATACCGTGACTCCCCAAACCAAAATAAAAATGAACTGCGGTTCTTTTAAGTTGGAATGGCTGTCGGAGTATGTGCAAAGAAAAGAACAAGCGGTGAACCTGGGTGAGATCTTTTCTTTTTCAAGTGAGAAAGGTCTGTCTGCGCTGCAAAACACGCAGCAAAGCTAAAGTGGTAAGCAAATTTTCCGATGGAAAAATACGGACTAAATGGAAGCTGGACGACCTCAAGCGACACATTCAGCAGAATGAACGGATTCGTACATTATTGGAGAGAGCGCAAACGATCGGGAGAAAAAGAATCGGCTGTCCCACAGAAAAAAAATCTGACCCTGTGCAAGTTAAAGTTCTCATTGACAATATATGACTTGCCATTAAAATGAATGCATTAATTGCTGTTATAATTTGTTTCTTTTAATAAGCCATGAGAATTTCTATGATCCCAGGTGTGATACTGGTGCGTGGCCACAGCGAGCACTTCTGATGTTGCTCACAGTGGTCCTCGTGTCCTCAGGGAGATTGTCTGTTTGCCCAGAGAAATGAAAAATTAGAGGGAACATTGATGCTCAGTAGTAAACACCCCCCGCCATTTCCCTCTTTTATTTATTTATTTATTTAGTCGCATGTTATGAATAACAAGCATGTCTGTGTGTTCTTTCCCACGCCAGTGTTGGTATTCCTTCTCTCAGCACTTGAGCTGAAGGCCAGTGACCTCTCTGTTTAGATTTGCATAGACCACAGGCAGCAGGAAACGTCAACGTTATCCTTTTAAGGGAAAATGCCGCCATTGTGTGCACTACCTTCTGCAGCACTCCCCAGTTTTGATGCCTTCACTGTCATTTTCCAAATGCATCTTCACCAAATGTTGGAAATGGAAGCAAGGAATTGGGTCCTTTTTGGGCACATGTTTTCGTCTAATATTAAACATCAGCCGTAGCAATAAAATGTATCTTATGTCGGACTTCTGGTAATACCGCTTAAATGCACGTAGATTTCTTTTTCTGGCAAGTTGCCTGTCTTATTTAATTGGTTTTGTTCAGTCTCTTTGTCCTTCCTGGTACCAAAGTTGGAGGGACCGTGACCAGTAGGAGACCAGCATAATTTTGAGAAAACTCAATTCCCTAAAAAAAAAAAAAAAAGACTTCAAGCTATTAGTTTACTGTCAATCAAAATATTGCACGTTGTGTAATTTAAAGCAATCACATAGCGTTGCCTTCGGAATGTCCGCTAGCTTAATAACACAGTGCGAAAACTCAACAGACAGGCTAACAAACGTATTCAGGAGTCACAGTATTCTAACCCTTTAAGGAACAGACATAAACACAGATGGAAGATATATCAAGATACATCCTATCATCGGCCACATAGCACAATTATGCTGAATGTAGTCATAAAAAGCACATTAAAATCAATACTGAATATTTCTGGGTCGTGAATTTTAGTGTTCGTTTTTTTTTTTTTACAGAGACCGATGTTATCAGTGTCCCAGTCAAGTGTCTCTTTCAGGGTAGAAAAGAAAAACTGGTTCTGGTTAATCATGAACGATATGTTTTATCCTTGGCTTCAGCTTCCTGAGTCGCTCAGTTATCTATTTCTGCACCCTGCCGGTCAAGGTATGCGCAGAAGGAGCACAGTGTGAGGCACTTGTCATTTCTTGAAAGTTCATTTGAGATGTCAAGGCAGCACTATATTTTATTTTTCCTTCTCATAGAAAACATTCCAGAGAAATGGACACCTGAAGTGAAACACTTTTGTCCCAACGTCCCCATCATCCTGGTAGGCAACAAAAAGGACCTCAGGAACGACGAGAACACGCGCAGAGAGCTGGCCAAGATGAAACAGGTAAGGCCGACCCAGTCGCAAACGCTCTGACATAAGTGCCGCCGGCCGCTCAATTTTTACTTTCTACGTGACGGTAACACCTGCAGGAGCCGGTCAAATCTGACGAAGGCAGAGACATGGCCAACCGCATCAGCGCTTTCGGCTACCTGGAGTGCTCGGCCAAGACCAAGGACGGCGTGCGGGAGGTGTTCGAGATGGCCACCCGGGCCGCCCTGCAGGTGCGGAAGCGCAAGAAGAAGAACGGCTGCCAGCTCCTGTGAGGAGGTTAGGGGTGGGGCAGCTGGCTTGCCAAACGCCAGTTGACCAAGGGCTCAAGGGATGTGGAGAACCCTTCACTCGGTGGTGTCTGTGGACCTTGCAGATACGCCACTGGCCAGCATCAAAGACTGACACACCTGTAACAGCAAAAACCCATCACCATTGTAGGACTTTTCCTCTGCTTCTCACCACTTTTCTTTTTCTCTTCAATCTTTTGATGCCACGGACCCACAACTCCTCCTCCCAAATGTTTGTATTTATGTGCAATTACTTAACAAATATATCACATCTGCAATAAGTTGCTTTCTGTCTAATTTGTGCTGAATTGAGTCCAGCTTCTCCTGTCTGTTTGCATCACAACCCAGATGTCATAATTCACTGTTCCCAAATCTTTTCCAGTGTCTCTTTAGTGAGCTTTTCTCTATTGTGAGCTATAGCATGTGCAGGTATTGATAACAGCTCACGGATTGGACACGATCCATCTTTAGAATATGGCCTGACAAAATCAATATTGATCTAACATGTCACTGTGTACCATTTTACAACTGCACAACACATGAAAGGGCTGTCCAAGTCATTTTTGTGGTGGTCCGGCTCATTGAGCCGTTATGATGATGAAACCAAGTACAATGTTTCGTCTCATATGTTGCCTATACACAAAGTGATCGCTTACTGGTTTTGAAATCAGAAGTGAAGAATAGTTGTTGAATTGTTTAACTTACTGTAAAAAAAAAAGGTAACAAACAAATCTTGCAAAAGCTTAACATTACTACTCATGAGTTTTTAGCCAAGAGCCATGGAAGTGGACATGATTTGATTTCATGGACCAGATGTGGCCCCCTGGTCTTTGAGTTTGACACCTGTGACATATACAGCACACAACTCTTAATTTCACCCAGTTAACAGTCCACTCACGAATTCCGCGTTTTTTTTTGTTTTGTTTGTTTTTTTTACCTCAATTTATTTCATGACAAACCTCAGCATGAGTAAAAACATCTTTATTTGACGTGAGAAACATTTATCAGATTCCGCTTATCCGCAGGACCATCGGGAAAAGTCCTGACCGAGTCTCTGTTCAATGGGTCGAGGCTCCCCTATCACCCTTGTCCGCACCAACGCAGTAGCGCAAGGAGACGTTCTTTAAACCGGTGTCGAGATGAATTCGCCTACGTTTACTAACTGCCTTTAGGTTTATGGAGCCAATCCAATCGTTTATCCATCCTCAATGAGTAACCACACTGAATTAAGAATTGATAATACGACAACTCCATTTTTACACAGGGTTCCCACAGGTCCTTAAAGTTCATAAAAATCGTAAAATGGTGTTCTTAATTGTCCTTAATTTTCAGGGAACGCTTCTAAAATCAATAAAAATCCTTAAAAATTAACCTGTCATGTTGATTTCATTTGTGTATGTCATTTTCCCCACCCTTCCAATTAATAGTTTTGTCGGAAAATGCGCCTGGAGCCCTTCCCCTCAAACCCCGCTGTCGGGCTACATGCCTTCCTGGTTCCCGCTCTGCTTTTCCCGCCGTTTCCAATCAGTTCCGATGATGATCACGTGATCACTTCGGGTCATTTAGGGCCAATTTGACATACAGTATGTCAAATAAAGGGTTAGCTGATTGCCCCCAAAAATAAGATGTGCCCTTCCTTTGGCAGATTTATTAAAATAGCAATAGTTCAGGTAATATTAATCAACCAACTGTCGATTCAGCTAGATGGAGAATGCATTCAATGATCATGAAATTCCCAGAATCATTGCATTAAAGAAAACAGTCATATGATCTTAACACCGATTGTAATCACTGAAATAATTGAAAGCATAGAAAATGGTAAAAAGGGATTAAATGGGATTAAATGATAGTCTTTTTAAGTGAGCTTTCAAGGGTGATCAGTTCTTAAAATGCCCGAAACCTGATTAATGGTAATTTAATAGGAAATTTAGGACATTCGACTGGTTCTTTCTTTATACGCGCGATAACAGTATATCCCTTTAGTTTCCTTATTGAAACAAGTTTCAAAAAAATCCAAATGGATGAGGAATAATCCATCTAACCAAAGATAATAATCCGAAGCAAGAAAAATGCATGAATCCAAAGCGTGAAAAAATGCTAAATTAATTCCTCCGTCGACATGTCCTCTTGAGAACCGCGAGAGAAAAAGCTGGGAGGTTCTTCAGGCTGTGCTTTTTATAGCCTTCATCCTTCGAGATTAGAACAAGGGTAGGGAACTCCGGTTCCTCGAGAGCCATATCCTGCCTCTTTTAGATCCCTCCCTACTCCAACACATCTGATTCAACTGTTTATGATTGTTTCAGGCCTCGACAGGGCTTGCTGATGATTTGAATAAGGTGTGTTGGAGTAGGGTGGATCTAAAACAGGCAGGATATGGCGCTCCAGAAACTGGAATTCCCTACCCCTGTTCTAGAAGCTTTTTTACAGTTTACTGAGCATGCTCGAAGGCAGAGGAGTCCAAAGTCAGTCCTCAGGGGCCGCCGTCCTGCGGGTTTTCAAGCTCTCTCGGCTGCAACACACCTGATTCAGACGATGGCTCATCAGCCAGCTCTGAAGCAGCATTAGAACAACCCTGATTATTTGAATCAGGTGTGTTGCTCCCGAGAGAGCTGCAAAACAGGCAGGACGTCGGCCCCTGAGGACCGACTTTGGACACCCCTGCTCTAAGGCATGGGTAGGGAACTCCCGTTCCTCGAGAGCCATATCCTGCCTGTTTTAGGTCCCTCCCTACTCCAACACACCTGATTCAATTGTTCAGGCCTCGACAGAGCTTGCTGATGAGCTGATCGTTTGAATCAGGTGTGTTGGAGTAGGGAGGGACCTAAAACAGGCAGGATATGGCTCTTGAGGAACCGGAGTTCCCTACCCCTGCTCGAAGGTGAGGTCCCTTGGGTCTGGTACAATCCCACTACGCCATCTTGGCTTGGTAAAATTCCATTACCTAACCTTCGCTTGGGCGTCGACTGATCTTATGTAAAAAAAGTCCCTTTCAGCTCACCAACTCAATCCAAAACAAATATAATGCTTAATATTACATATCTAAGCAGCGTAATATATTGAATAACATGTATATACAATCATATTGCTCCATTCTCTCTCTTGTAGTCAACAGGTTGAGTCTTGTTTGCTTCTTCTACATCATGTGCGACATTATCTGAGAGTAACAATGTATACAGGTTACATGAATGCACAAAGCAGTTTCAAAGCGTTGTTTACTGTAACACAAAAGGTATTCAAACTGATTATTCTTCCATGTTGTTTCGTTAAAACATTGAAAAGGAAATGACAGCAATAATCACGCAATAAAAACAACAGTTAACACTAATTATTCTGTAATACTGTATAATTCAACTGTGGGGTTTATCCTGAGCATTATGTGTTTTATTGTCATCATCGTAATCTTTGTAAGGCATCGAAAAGGCATTGGCTTTGGTATGTGTATGCTTTTTAAGGCATTGCTTGAGCTGGCGAGCTCTCAGTATTCAATTTGCTCTGTCGACATTTAGTGTCCAAATCAGGAATTGCCCTCTAAAGCTTTTACTTCCTAGGGCTTAGCCCATATCTTACTTCATTATTTCTTCCGTCACGTCACCTGACATGGCGCACCACTTGACACATTCCAACATCATAATTCTGAGATCATGATAGTGAAGATCAGTATAAAATGTGCCTGTCATTAAAAAAATAAAAAAACACCTTCAAGTGACAGATTGTGATGATTCCTCGCAAACACTTCAAATGGTTTATTTTGTTAGTAATAAAGATTCTTTTGAAAGTAGCATGTGTAGTCATCTGCACTCATTTGGGTGGTGATTTCTAAAATGTTTTCATTTCTTCAGTTTAGTTTTTGGTCCCTAGCGCAGATGTCCAAACATTCTGTACGCCTTTTTTCATCTGCTTACAGGTCACTCCTCTGGTTGATAGTGTGCTTCGTCTGCATCGTCCTCCACTGAAGGGAGAGCAAAATGGTTTTATGTCTGTTGAAAACATTTCCAAAGTGAGTGAGTGATGCCTCACCCTGAGAGTGCATTTTACGGAAGAGATGTGAATATCTTTCAGCCACAGCTTCTTCCTCCTCCACAGGCTTGAACCCACAGTCGGCCTTGGAATCTTGACAGTACTTGATGAAGCTGCACACGGCGGCAACAAGCGCAAGAGGAGACGATAGCTTTAGTCTTCAATAATGTGCATGTGTAGAAATTGGCAAAAACTGAACGGGGCACATACTACTTCCACGTGTCGTCAGTGCTGAGCACCACTGGGTTTCCCACCACAATCAACAAGGCTTGCGCTCGAGTCATTGCCACATTGAACCGCTGACAAAGAACATCGGTGTTAGTTACTTTTGGTGCACTTGTTGGACAGCAGTACAGTTTCATTTCTTGTGTGACCACGCTGGTGATCTCTTAAATAATCTTTCCCCACTAAAACAAATAGCAACACTAAATGCCATTTCAGCCTTCCCCCCCAAAAATGACACACTTTTTGAATAATGGCACCCTATGAAATGAAACAAACAAAAAAAAATTCAGTAATGATAAATACAATGTAAAAAAATAGTTTGTAATCAAATCACCGATGCTGTTCATTAGCCTGCCTATGGAGACTTGCATTGTTTGTTGGCATTAAGCTAAAGTGACTTTCCCTGGTTTGAAAATGCACAAAGTGTAATTTCTTTTGTTTTGTTTCGCTGAACAGGAGACTTCACATGGCCATAGCAATAAACTTGAAGCTTCTTTTTTTTCTTCTTCCAAGAAATGTTGATGTGTCTGCCAAACGTGAGTTGAGTTCACTCCCATTATAGTGCGCGTCTCACATGTTCGCATGTGAAAGCGAAACACTGGCTCGTTTGTGGCGAAACCCGTAAGTTGGGTCACTTGTAAAGCACCAGTGTATTTGGTGAAACTTTGCACATTGGATGCGTTGGCACGACAATTCTCATTTGTATGATGAATGGTCACCAGTGGCCTGCAGGTGCTTAGCATTGGGACACAAAATGGCGCAGTCACGCTTGAGCTAATGAAAGGCTTCCCCCCCAAACTCAAATTGTACGATTGTCCAAAATACCCGGAGACTTGAGTGTATGTCGTGTACGAGTGTACGCCAAAGGTTAGGTGTACCTTCTTGTTGGCAACAAAGCCCAGGTTGAAGCGTTTGTCAAAGTCTATGTAGTTGCGGCTGCTGCGGACTGTCGACACCAAGATGACTCTCCTCTCCTGACCTTGGAACTCCTCCACTGAACCAACCTGAAACAAACAATTCACAACTCACATCCCTTCCAGCGTACTTTTCCAATTGCAAACATCGAATGGGTTGCTTTTGTTTCTTTTTATGTCGACGGATTCACTCTGCAGCAGGTTTGAAGTGTGCTCTACTGCCTAATTACCTTCAGGCCACTCATGTCCTTAAATTTGAATTCTTTCGCAACCTTCAGAAGGGCCTGACGGATTTTCTGCACCTGCGAAAGAAAACATCCACATTGAAAACTGAACCCCACTTCCCATTTAACACAGGCAACTTGTAAAAGGTCCGGCTTTTGAGATCAAGTCAAGTCAGTTGCGTGATATCAGATACACACAAGAGCACTTTTGTCACGTCACATAGACGTTCACCCAAGGATACCACATTGCAATACACAAACCATTGGTGAAGTGAAAAAAAATATTGCATGTGTGTTTGAGGGTTTAATTGCCAAATATTTTTTGGTTCAGAAATGAGTGTATGCACTCCAATAGTCAAATTCACGGCAAACAAACCACCAACGCGTGTACCAGTAAAAAAAGGCAAAATCATGTACTGGCATGCTCACTTCACATAAATGTGGCGAAGCCAGTTGCACACAACAATAAAATGTGATCGTCACACTTTCACTTTTGACGCTCTACTTGGTACATTCAACCACCAGCAACATAAGCAGGTTATCTCAAATGCAAAGGAAAACAAACAACAGCAAAAACCCACTTAAAAACACGACCACTGAATTTGATTGAACCCAAAAACCAAGACTGAAATTCCTCTGGATGGTGTCCAAGCAATCATTTTCTTGCTTTGGTCTGAGCATGACAAGCAAATAGACGTTAGATTGCAAAAAAATAAATGTGTACTGTATTTGCCTACATGGAACAAGAGTAATTCCTACTTGTTTCCTGTAGGGGGCGATGATGCCAATGTCTTTTGGTGAAATGGTGGCCAGGCCCTTTTTGCCAGCCGTCTCCAGCAGTTTCTTCACGTAGTCCATCAGAACCTGCACCTCGGCTCGATTGAAGAAGGACGGGCTGGTGGCCTCGCGCTCGTCGATGCCCGACACGCCGTGGAAGATCAGTGGGAAGTCCTACCGCAAATCAGACACACTTGCTGTTTTGACAGCACCTCAAACAACAACCTGACAAAACACAGAGCATCTCACAAAGGAGACTGCTGACGTTTATTGGCCAGTTATTTACCTCCAGTTAAGCAAAAGAAGTTTAAGAGAAGGAAATGAAAGCGCTCTACTTGATGTCACAGGACAAAAAAGGCGCAGACGGCTGCGTATGAACAGCTGCAACGGCCGATGCCGACATGGCTGTTACGTTCCGCAAGAGGCAACATCAAACTCGTATTCAATGTTTGGCAATACTGTCATGAATAAGTCATGCTAGCTATGTAGCTCCCTTGGCGTGGCGCCGTGCAGAAGAGACACCGTTGGGAGAACAACATGTAAATGCAAAATGTGGAACGTCATAATATTCTAATCTTTTTTCAGTATGATTCTGAGTCCTGTCTTCTATGGGTATTTAATGACTTGGGTTTCCTGCAGTGTTCCCAAAGAATAACACTTTGTCAACAAAGATTTTACGTTTCAAGTCACTCATCAAGATCTGAGACATCTGGAACATTGTGCGTGTTCTCGGCAACGGCATACTAAAGTAAACGCGGTAAATAAATGGGAACCGTCACCGGTTTTTCAAGGTGTTCCCATGTGCAGAAGAAGTTGCGCTTTATTTGGTCAGCGCAGGCCTGGAGCTCTCCGCCGTAGAAGAGCTCATTGGGAACCTTCAGAATGGACGGATGGGACCTTGGAAGGATAACAAAATCATTTCAGCTGACTGGAGGACGCGGCGAGGAAAAGCAAAATGGCGCCCGACATTTATCGAAACAACACCTGTAATTGCGCAGCAGTTTGGTGACAAAGAGGTCATTAAAGCCGTCTCCTTTCTGGTTCACTGAGAAAACGGTCATCATTCGCTCCAAGAGGGAAATGCCTACACGCAGCAGTGACACAGTCAGCTTGCATGGACTGCTTTGCAGGGACGAGTATGAGGACTCTACTTACCCATTCCATATTTAAGAGCAAGACTCGATGCCACAATGGGTCCCAGCTGCTTGTGATCTCCGGCCAGAACCAGCTGGCCAGACTCTGGGTCCAGTAGCCCTGAATGTAAGCACACATCAACCAAAACGCATCAAAGAAGTTCAAGCCTCCATGTTCAATAGCATTTTATTTATTTATATATGTATTTATTACCAGCGATTGGAATTAAACATTCAGTCTCCGTAGCATGCCCGGCCTCATCCACAAATATGTGAGTAAAATGGCCCAGGGGAAGGTTTCCTGTGACCAACCTGCAGAGACCAGAAGATACAGAACACTACATCTGGCTGCCTTCACCCGCACAAACGGATGCCATCGAGACGAGAACCGCATTAAACATGGCCTTTTTCTCAATTCCGTCAGTTTAACTCCTCTTGTGTGGCGAGCGCAGTAATTGGCCTGTCAAGAAGCTATGTTGTGGTGACTTGCATTATTCATTCAGCTAAATAGAAAGCAAAGACGCAAAAAGCTTTGTATCAGACCAAAGTTGCCTCAAGTCATGTCGATTTGGATTCAGTCTTCTCAGAAAGGCATTCATTGAAAAATACGTTTTCTGTTCCTTGTCATTTCAATAGGTAGTATTTCAAACATAGCTGTAATGGAGCATGGGAGGCTCACCCCTGTCAACCACAATGAGAAAACAAGAAATGACATGATGGTTAAAATAAATAAATAAATAAATAAAAAATTCAAAGGCACTTAATTGCTGTGATTCTTTATCTTTTGTCTATTTTCACGAAAGAATGTGAGAGACAGTCTTTAAGTATAAAAAAAAAAAACTGTCTCTCTTTCCAGAGGCACAACTACGATCGACACGAATGCATCAGATCACTGTGCGCTGATTTTGCATATTTTGTATTATCATATTACAAAGACCATATAAAGTGCAGAGGCTTAGCGATCTTTGTACTCAGCGTCATGGCACCGCCGCCAATGTACCCAGCGAAGTGTCCAGGGCAGGGTTATGTCAACAGAAGGCACATACGACATATTAGCATAACGCACATCAACAAATGGGTGGGGACTTGACGCTACCTTCCAGCAGTGAACAGAGTGGTGACAATGATTCGATATTCCATCAGTTTCTCTCTGGAAGGAAAGACGTAATCGTCTCCAACCAGGTTCGAGCATGCCTGTGAAGTCACATGCACACAAGCCTCAATGAGACAAGCAGATTTGACCAGTTCACCGAGGTCAGACATGCAAAGCACATCACAGCACATGCGTGAGACTACATTCTTAAGTCCGCTAGAGGCCATTAAGAATAGAATAAGAATCATATTTCTTGTCATGCACATTTTTTTTAAATCCACAGCAAACACGCAAACCGGCACACAATGGCTCTGTCCTGGGCTGCTCCCTGGACACTCTGGAGGAGGTGGGCAACAGGAGGATGCTAGCTAAGCTAACAGCTATGATAAACAGACCCTACCACCCCCTCCAGCCCACCCTGAGAGCACTGGGCAGCTCCTTCAGCCAGAGACTGATACACCCGCGCTGCAAGAACGAGAGGTACTGCCGCTCGTTCTGCCGACCGCTGTCAGGCTATTGAATAGACAGACCTGAAAACCTGGACTCAACCCCACTCACCCATTTTTAATATGCTTATATTCATATTTTATATATATTGATATACTTTTTGTTGTCTACTTTCTCCCTTTCATAATTTTGCTGCTGTAAATTGGGAATTTCTCCATTGTGAGACAAAAAAAGGTTTTCTTATCTTATCTTAATGCAGTATGGGGCAGGCTTTCCACCGTCCCCGTCTCCCATTGTGATACAAGACGTTACATTACACAGCCACCCGCAATCGGTGAAAATCTGCAATTTAGAGAAACTGCTTTTTTTTTTTTTTAAATGTCGCTATTGCCTCTTCCGCACGTCATTTTGAAAGTTATGAGAATGGACTTCTGCTGCTGAAGAGTAACCTTGCGAAGAATTGATCACTCCAAAGAAACAGAAGTGATTGCACGGTTCGTTTTGAACTGAGAACAAGCCGCAGTTAAAGGCGGGCTCTCCAGTCTCATTTCTTTTGTGCGGAAACAAATGGCTTTGGCTTGCCCGCGTCGGCCCGAGCGAACATGCGTCCTGCATCTATCCCGGCCTAAAAAAAAAAAAAAGATTGCTGTGAACCATTCCTGCAAGATGGGGAGAACTGCCACAATAGAACATTACATAAAGTCATATTTTCATTTTTTTTTTTGCCTTAAACATCCCTTAAATGCAGTGTTGTTTTTGGCAGCTATTTTAAATTTTATCTTAGTCTTTTGGACAAAAATGCTGGTTAGTTTTAGTCACATTTTAGTCATTCCTATTCGTGATAGTTTTAGTCAATTAAAACTGTAAAAGGTTTTAGTGAAGAAATACTCAAAAAGCTTTTAGTCTGGTTTTAGTTAAAAAGACATACAAGGTTTCCACCAACCCAACAAAGACTTTCTGAGCTACTGAGGATTATGCATCACACACAGAAAAAGTAGTAATCCATGTTCATTACTCCAAATTAAGCCAAGAACTAAAATATTTTCTTTGGCAATTGTTGTGGCTTTATTTCTGTGAACCAACCTGCTGAAGTGCAATGAACATACAGATGCCCTAAATATGAGCAATGGATGAGGAACGCTGCAAAGTATGAAACAAATGTGACACTTTAAAGCAAAATAAAGAGACGAAATAAAAGCAACAATGTTTTAACAAACTACACTAGAGGTGACTCCTATCCCTCGTGCGGTTATGGTGTAAAAATTATTTCATCAATAAAGCTGACAGTGTGAATGATTTTACCCTCCGATTCCATCACCGCAGCTCAGAGACACCAAATGTGTTGTCAGAGAAATTATTCACACCCAATCATCCCATCATCCAACTCTATAGCCTACTTATGTTATCATTCCGACATGTGCCTTAAATCTAATTTTCATATTTGATTATACACACATCAAGCTCATGAATTGACGTTAGCTCAATCAAAATAACTTAAGCCTTAAGTACGCCCATTTATGCCAGGAGTTACGTGGAATACTATGAAATCGATCCCCAGCCGACTGTTGAGTAATATTGAATTCGAGCAAATGTACACAGTTACCCCAGTTACGCACCAGGACCCGGAAAGGGAATGTGCCCTCCACTACTAACCTTGAGGTCTTCAGGGACACACTGCGGGTCACGGCTGCTGGCATACATGCGGTACACCTTGCTCTTATTGCCATGGCCCTGGAGAATCCTCGTGCAGAGGAGATCCGCAGCACTATTGGAGGGACCGCAGGCAAGAATGTGGCACTCTTTCTGGAGCTTGTCAACCTGTTTGATGGCCTCCACCAACGTGACGGTTTTGCCTGAAATGACAAAGAACCGGCCGAGTGTGGACCCTGCTTTGATTTGAGTGGCAGCATGTGGTTTACCTGTGCCGGGTGGCCCGAAAACCAAGTATGGAGCAGGTTTGGAAGTGCCGGCTACAATGTGGCGCACGGCTTTGCTCTGCTCGGGGTTCTTTTCCAGCTGTCTGTCATAGAAACTAGTGTGCGCACACACACACACAGGACAAAATATCAGTGATGACCTACAAATGTTCAGCTAAACTTTAGGGTTTTTCTTGGCTCAAATTGAGGCAGAGGTGGTAATATCCGGACCAGGCGCCATGACGTGCATGTATTCTGTAAATTCAATGGATTAACTCTATTTATTTTTCGATGGGAAACATACTTTAAGAGTTCCGATAAGATGACAATTATGTTAAACCATTCATTTATTCAAACTTATATATACCGGTATTCAAACTTATATATACATACATATATACATACATACACACACACACACACACATATATATATATATGTATATGTGTGTGTGTGTGTGTGTGTGTGTGTGTGTGTGTGTGTGTGTGTGTGTGTGTGTGTGTGTGTGTGTGTGTGTGCGTGCGCATTATTCAACAGGCCAACAACATTCGAGACAATACTTCTCACGTGCTGCACTCCCAATTTGAGCTCCTACACTCAGGAAGGAGGTACAGGACCCTTCTCTGCAAATTAAACCGGTACAAAAACTCATACTGCAGGCTATCAGCCTAATTAACAAACAACTAGAGGAAGGCAGACAGACAAGCAGGAGGACATGAGGGCAGTGTGGGGTGTGCATAAGACTGTGATGTACCGTCCATTGTGTGTAGAGTATATATTGTCCAGTACTGTTTGTATTGTCCAATGTATGTGGTGTAGTGTATGTGTATGTACTGTTCAATGCATGTAGCAGCAAGGAGGGCATGTCCTCCGAGACAAGTTTCTCCTATGGGAGACCAAATAAAAAGTCAAATCAAATCAAATCAACTTTTGAATCATAAAGGCCTCTTTTCAAAGTCCACAAACTCTTGGGTAAAGATTCATAAAGTGCACTGTCACAAGTACTGCAAGGTGAAAAAGTGCAGTGTGGAAAAATAAGTCAATAGCATAAGTGCACAAGTGAGCACTGCAGTGTATGACGAAGCGAGGCAGCAACTAACAGTCCCAACATCACCCGGCCATAACTCAGAAGTGAGGCGTGTGGCCTTATTTCCTTCTGTCAGGGTATGCAGAAGCATGACACCTCTTGTTTTAGAAGATATCGGTGGCTCGGAACCCTAAACCGTGCACGGTAAATATTACTGTAAGACACTATAACATAATGTGCGTTTTAAAGACACCACCACACCCAAATATAAAAAAAAATACATGGTGCAGTGCTCATATGATTGAATTAAAATGTATTGCAATTAGTTGGAAAAGAAAATGGCAGCAACATACATTTTGGAAATGCAGATTTTAAACAGTAAATGTGTTGTACTTAAAAATGACATGTACTTAACAGATGTACTACCAAACAACAACGAAGATGAAGCGCAGGGTGACTCGCATATGGAAGACAATCACTGCTGCAGCAAATGCAAGCTGTCACTTTTCCGAGTTGCCTTTTCTCGCCATCTTGATCTGAGAGGGACTTTTCCCTTTCTACTGAGCTGTCTGAGGACTGAATGTGATGCGAGAGAGAAACCACGGAGAGGTATGCTCCTCTCTGTCGCTACCCAAGTCACAACTATTCCTGAAAGCTTTGCCTCGGTCAGATTTTGCTTCACTGCGTGCGGACAAAGTGGAAATCGTCGAAGCCTTGCGCGCCTCACCTGAGTTTGGGGACCTGAGCTCCTTGCTTTGAGGAGAGGCTGGCTGGCGGGAACAACAGCTTTTCCAGTTGAAACTTTGTTGCAAAGTCCACCGCTCGGTGCTGCAGACGCAGTATCAGCCGGTTGAAGGTGAACTCCACGTTGAACTTCATGCCGTCAAGAAAAAGGTCCAACAACCTGCGGGCACATCGAAAAATTATATTCTTGATACTGAGCTGGCTTCCAGCCAGAGACGTAAAACATGTCTTTTACTTTGAACTGAAGCCCAATTTGACAGAGTCGCGCTCTACTTTGTGGACATAACCGCAGTATTTTGGCCGATCTGGTTCTCCTTGAAGGTAAACCAGCAGCCGATCACCGCGTAGCACAGACGGCCGGTTCTCAGACAGACCTGGTACCTACAAAGTCAAACGGCACACAGTGAATTCAGAGCTTTGTTTCTCAATCCATTCTAGGTGTGGGAACATAACTGCTGGAAGCAGGTGCAAAGACTGACCACTATCTAGTAATAATAATAATACATTTCATTTATAAGCGCCTTTCAAAACACTCAAGGACACTTTACAATCAAAACAAGAACTATAAAATAGTGGAGAAATTTTGTTCAAACTGTTCTTACCATTTCAATTGGCTTGACAGATTTTGCTTTTACTCCTAACAGGCTATCTTTGCTGATTACACCTTTGGAAATTAATTTATTCTCCACATGGCCAGCTGGCCTGGCCACTATAGAGCGCCTTGTGGTCTGCTGTGAGTGCATGTGCATCACATACTCTAAAGGCCAAAGTGTGCTGAGGTGAAAAAGTATTTTTTTAATGAACCAAATTCCAACTTGACAGCCAGCTTGTGTGTCAGCGCTTTCGGCTGGTGTGGCTGCTTGAACACAAGCAATGACAGCAGAATACTTGAATGCTTAACAGTCAAAGAACTCAAGTTTGACTGAAAAAAATGCCAGAAGTTGATTGACAACATGGTGAGACAACCATTTTGTGTTTTTCACAAATGAGATAATTTATAATAACCTGGAAGGAGATTGTTAGTGTTAAGCTTGAAATATGAAGTCTGAACAGTGTGTATTATTTGTTTTACTGCCTCACAAACAGAAAGGTGACTGACTAATCTGTGAAAGTAGCCTAAGACCAACGTGAGGAAGGAAGTCAACCTGGAGAATGAGTAGCTTCTTGTTGCTCGGATCCCTTTGCATGTGGACAAATTGTCTGTCACTGTTGGGTATGAAGTATCGTGTGATGTCCACTTGCATCTGAAATTCCTCCAAATACAACAACTCGTGAAGCTTCCGAGAATAGTTCCGAAAGCTCAAACAACTGCCCAGCACAGCACTTCAAAACATGAAAAAGGACAATGTTAGTATGGAACCTCAGCTTGGATGCAATCAAGTGTACACAACCCTGTTTCAAATGCCAGTTTTTGTGAGGAAAAAAAGCTGTATCCGTTCAAAATGATCTTTACCATTCATTTGAGCGATATCTATCTCTATTTTTGTTTTAATGCATTTTCAAGACGGATAAAATGAAGTGAGCTAACGTGATTGTGCCCACGCCCTCTTGGCTGTGTTGAGAAATATCCAATCAGCACAAAACTGCCACCATTTAATGTACTGCTGGTGAAGCAAAATAAAGTTCAGCGGTCTTCCTGCTTTGAAGATGCTTTTTTTTTTCTTCCACAACAGTTGTGGTCTTAGCCAAATTGCGGTCTGTGTTAGCCTTCCGGCTTCTGCACGTAAGCACACCCAAGAAAAACGGTGTGGCTGTCATTTTTGTTGTTGTTTCCACTTGATTTTCATCATGTTCAATGCAATTCATGTACAGCATGGAGAGCTTTAAATGCAAGAGGAGGATCTGTTGATAGTTTCAGGTCTGACTGATCAATGAACATTCCTTTGTGCAGGGGGGGAGATTGTCTCAGGTCGTAAAAGACAGTGGAGGTCCGCGAGTCTGTTTTTGGCCAGCTTGAGTTTGTTTGCAGCAGCGGATGTAAAGGCTGACGAGCGGTTTGCGTGCCCATGCACGAAGGCTGTGACGTAATGTTCGGACAACCAGTCTTCTGCTGGACCCCCTCATACTGTCAAAAACGCCATTGATTTTTTTTTGTTCTACTAATTAGTTAATATCTGCATGTTTAGGCCAACAACACTACAAAACAGCTTAACTTTCTTTTGTATTAAATCTTTTTTTTTTTTTGTATACATCCAGCGGCCCATTTCTCAGTACTGAGGGAGAAATCCCCCTGGTTCATTTTAATGTACTGCACCATGTTGGGAACGGATATGACGTCAAGTCATTGACTGGGCCATCCCTTGCACCCGCCAGTTGCCATTGAGTGATGCCAGATAGCTTGACGATGGATGTAAAGGGGACCCTATAAGGGGACCCTAAAAAAAGCTGTCGTAGGTTTAAAACCAATAATTAAAAAAAAAACAAACAAACAAACAAAAAAAAAAAAACAGGCAAGCCATAAGCAAGCGCGTCAACGCCGCCGGCTTCTTCCTCATCCGACGGCGATGTCCCGCGATTCACCCGGCTGGCGATCCACCCGTTTAGTATCCAGACTGCGATATTTATTTAGTTCAACGGAAAGTATGCAACCTGACCAGCATCGCAGACATGCGGTGGCTCATTATTTATTATGCGCTGCAGCACTTGCGCGACGTCTGACGGAGAGCAAAAGGGGTGCCGTCAGTGACGGATTGACGGACCTGTCCGCAGTATTGACTCTGGAAAAAGGCGAGGCTGACTCACGTTCATCAGAATCTGACCAACAAAATGCCACGTTGAATTGGAGACACGGCCGGACCAAGACGGTTTTCAGCGCAGCTTCGTCACGGCTCTGCCTCTTGCAGCCAAGTACGGCTGCAGGCGCTAGCTGTCATGGAGTCTTGGCAAATAAGTTACGCCAACTTTTATAAGATTGCTTTAATCCAGCTAGTGGAACCAAAAACATGCTTGGATGCAGTTTTTCTTCATAGAGAACATTTTTTTCCTTGTGACCAACACAGCTACGATTTAATTGAGTTCTCCGGGTCATGGGTGACAATGGTGGAAAAAAAATTGACGTTTTTTTCTTTTCTTGGTCTCTTTGATATCACATGAAGGTGGCATCCGAACAGGGAAGTGTACATTTGTTATATCCGGTGTATGTCATGACTGAGCTGTCAAAAACCTTTCATCGATGGGAGGATTCATGTTGAGTGATCTGATGTGCTTGGGCAAATATTTTGGTAACGGATAAAGAAGAAGCGGTGTTGCACTTTTCAGCTCCATCCGTGACAACCTGAGAAAAATAAAGTGCATCACAATGAGACCAGATCAGAAGCATGCATAGAGTCGTATAGCAAAAGGTCTGATTTCTTTGTTTTTAAATTTCCATCACAAGTTAACCTTGGAAACTGGGGGAAAATGTTCATTTGGCCAAATTTTGGAATTAAGAAAAAAATAAGATAATGCCTTGAAATACACTTTAATTCATTCCACTACCACATACGTAACTCAAAAATCTCATATCTCAAATCATATTTCCACATTGAAATTAATTCAAATGCCATTATTATAATCCAGCTCCCCTGCTTAATTTTTTTTTAATAACAGAGCGCTCTATAATACTGTGCTTTCCAAAACCAAAAACAAAGCATTAAACTGCATCAAGATAAATTTACTTGAACGGCTTTTTCTGGTGTGAGTAATTGAACAAAACCTGGGGCAGTAGAGTACAGACACACAGTACATGGAGACAGTGATAACCAAGCTCAAGAAGCTGCAGTAACTCCCCATTTTTCCCCAGAGGGCAACAAAAATATGCCCTGTAGGTATTGCTGCATTGTCTGTCTACATGTCATGCGCCACCATTTGTGTTGTTTTGCTTAAGGCAAAACTGTGGTTGTTTTATATCCTCAGCAATTTTGTGTTTCAATTGACAGTACACTTCAACTTGGCGTGGCATCAAAACAGCTTGACGCCTCTCTTTTGAGGTACAATTTCCTACTTGCCAAGCTGTTTCGAGTTGCTCACTGCCACCATACAGCACCCGTACTGCAAAACACCACCAGCCAAACGAGAGCTCATAACTCAAATACTCCCAAGTAAGGAAACTCATCCCTCAGGGTACCACTGGATCCAGGGTTATGCTCATCAACTAGCAAATGTATAGCATATTGTTATTATTATTATTTTTTTTTTGTGTGATAAGCAGATTGGGGTCAATGCATACTCATCTAAATTTGAAAAATTACATTTGCGGCTGATTGATAAGGGAGTCCTTGCATTGCTTGATTACACTGAATAATCGGGCTAAAAGTTGCATGTAAAGGTGTGGTCCGAATATCTTACAAACGAACACCACGTGATGGAGGACTGTGCGATACATGCAGAGGGCATAGCCACCCTGCAGTTAGTTGAGTCTCACATGTGCAACATGGAATTGTGGGATGCAAAATGTTGTGTTCAATGGGCTGCTTTCACCATAATTTCAATTTCCTGTTAGAGACTAAGTGCAAATTGAAGTTGCCGATTTAAGTTAATTGCTGAAAACGGCCTGACCCGAGTTTCGGACTTACCCATCAGGGGGCACTCCATCCACAACTTTGCAGTTCTGCTCAACTCTTGGAGTAACGCGACAGAAGCGTTTATAAGGAGCAGTAGGTTTCAGCTCCTTTGCCACCGCGTTCAAAAAATAAACCTGAACATCACGCATTATGTAGAAGAAAGCTGTGTGCAATTTGTGCTGGAATTCAAAGACCAACGTCACTTGACAGTTGCCAGCGTACTCAAAGTGGTACTGAACCTGGACTGCATAGCTCTCGCCTGAAAGGTGACAACACACAGTCAGACTGGGTTAGGGGGAAAGTAAGGATCAAAGTGGAAAAATGCAGTCAACATTAGAGACACCTGCATTGTCCAGTGAGACTTACAGATGACAGATTCAACCGCCCAACAATTGAAACATCTAATGAGTGCACTTCCATGCCACACTGACTTCAAATTGTAATCATGAGCATAGTATATTGTGAAATACAGAATTGTCTGTGCCAAGTGAATATTACCTTGTGATGGCAGATTTGGACTGACACAATTCCTCATTGGACCAGGTGTCCCTTATGTTAATGCTGGTAAATGTTTTGAAAATGAGAAAAAAAAATTATTTCATACCTGGTTTGAGTGAAAGTGGGTTTTTTCGGGTCACCTTGTGCTCATCCTTCAGAGTGAAGCAGCTAAGCTTGCCCAATGCAGTGTAGTAGGTAAAATGCACAATTTGAGTTCCAGTGTTTTCCACATTTAGATTCACAACATACTGTTCCGAAAAGAGGAAGTAGAGCAAAAACATTTTTAAAAACGTCCTTTCTTTTGCAACAGACAGTGGCACAATTTCATTATAAAAGGAAAACAAGAAAAAATACCTGATCCGTTTCCAGCTCCAAGCAAATTGAGCCATCTGTGAACTCATGGTCTGACCTGATGACAATGCCATTTTTATCGGAAACGAGGTAAGGCCTTCGAGAATAGAAAAAAGGGGACAAGACTGGTCATGCTCCACTGCATCAAAGTGTGAGGAATTACATTGTCCTCCATTTCAGAACTTCAATTTACTTCTTAAGTCAACATATCCCCCCAGAAATGAGCTCCTGAATTGATATCGGTCAAAAAGCGTGACATCAACTGGGGCACAAGCACACACCAAGGCCAGACAATACTTACTGTGGTCGACACAGAACAGAAAATTAAGAGAACTGGGACAAGTTAAGCATACATGAGTAAGGGTAAAAGTGTCGTGTCTGTCCGAATGTCCTCGTTTGTCTGTCCTGTTTATTTTTGATTTGAAGACTTTAGGAAGTGTTATTTCTTGCACATCAAAATTATCACAAGTGTCTTGCTGTAAATCCTGCTTCTCCTTTCACAATCTGCTCCTGAACAATCTGCTTTACATCTGTTACTTATCATGATGCAGGTATGGAGATAAAATGAGGATGAAGTGGTTCGGAAAATGAAAGAATGAATGAATGAATGAATGAGGTTAATCGTAAAAGTACATGTTCATCGCTTTACTCTTGTTATTACATTACTTGTGAAATTAAGATTTTATTTTTATTTCTATGCCAGCGGCATACGGGCAGGAATTACAAATAAATGCTCATGAATTGGACAATGTTAGTGGAGACAAATACAATGTTGTCATGTTTCAAAGTTTCATTTTGTTACATGCTTGATTGACCTCGAAATGCTTGTGTTCAGAACATCTTGCACACAATGGAAGCACAGAGAATCAGGGGTCAATTTGAGGTCAAGGGACCCGAGCACATGGTACCTGACCACATCTCAGAAAGATTTAACCCTCATTAGTAGACACACTGGCGCCTGTTAACTGACAACTTGGAAAGGAAGATTTAACTTTGGACAGAAGGGAGTACTCTGTCGGTACGCTCCATCATGAGAAAGGGTCACGAGCCAGGTCACAGACGTATCAGTTCATGGAAACACCGCTCATTAAAATGTCTAAATTTCTGTTAGTTTATGGATGTTGGTGCTGGTACCAAGGGAATGCTTTGTCTTTGGGGGTCCACTGAGGGGCGACCCAATGGTTTGTAAATGAAGATGGGAGTGTTTTTCTGATGTATTACTTGTAATTTGCATACACAATCAATAAAAAGGCGGCAGAGGCTGCAGGGGTCAGGTGACAGTGGGAAGCGCACACCGAATGGCTTCATGGAGAACTGCACCTCCTGCTGGCAGTGAAAGTCGATCTGTTCCTGCGTCCAGCCTTTGTTGAACTGTCTGAGCGAAAATCTCTTGACAGACAGCCAACGGTCCAAGCAAGCATCCTGTGTATCCACCTGTTGCCAATCATACTCACAATGGCTCGCAGCAAGTATATTGTACCTGCAAAGTGCTCAATTCAACAAGCACAGATGCCACAGTATTTTACGTGTAATCTGAATAGACTCGTTTTGTCAATAAAATCAAGTTAGTAAAAAAAGCTGTCTTGATTTCATTCCTTATGAAAACATTACCGCGAAACATTACTGTTAATAATGCACTTGCAATGAAGTATTGGCAAAACCAGTTGTCATTTTTATGTGAAGCAAGATTGTCTGCATCTGCTGAAAGTAACTAATAGTCACTAGGTCACTAAGTTACTGTAGCAATCCTAGTTAGTATCCTGTGGACAGGTGTTAAGAATTCAGGCTCGCACCGAAATACTTGAAGCAGTGCATCAGGTTTGTCCCATGTTTTTGTGATGTCCATGTCAAATAAACAAAATATATTCTATGAATAGAGGCAACATGCTTCCTAAGGCATGGACAACCTTCAGTTCTTACGCAGTATGCATAGATTTCGGGGCTAACTTGACTGTATCGTACATTTCTTGTTGGATCCTTTTACCTGTCGCGCTTGAGCATTTCCGTGAAGTGTCTGGCATCATTTTTCATTTCTTCCATAGCAGAGAGCAGCGGTTGACTTGGAGATGGCTTAGCCTCCACATCACTGATGACCATCTCTGCTTTGGCTCTCCTGGAGATGTGCCACTGGTCCACCGAAAGCTCCGTGACCTGCACACAGCATCACTCGCTCACTTAACTGTTGCATCTTTGGGACTGGCAGAGGTGCAGCATCACATGATGGCTCCTCAACACACCTTTCGAAATTGCTGGTCAAGCTCAAGGGGAAGACATTTTGCACTGGTCTAAATTTACAACTTTGTGTCCCAAAAAAAAAAAACTACATGGGACAGGAGAAGTGAACCAATCTCTTTTTATCGGCAATGGACGCTACAGCTTCTTGTTTGCTTTGAAACTTAGCTTGTAGTCGACGTGTGCACATTTTGAGCATGACGTCTTTGATCCACTGGTGAAAGGACAATTTGATGCTCTCTCCTCTTTCATCTAGAACTGCTTCGAACAACAAAGCGTATGAGCGAAAAGTGGTTCATCGCACGACTGTCCGTGTTTTTATGTTGTGTTTATTATTTAATTTATGTTAACTGTTTTGGAAAGCGCTTTGTTACAGCTGCAGCTGTTGTGAAAACGCTACATAAATCAGGATGTATTGTATTGTATGTGTAATGGGAAATTTGAAAACATGAAAACGATGGGCATTTAGTCTCAGTAAAGAAGGCATAGCTGTGCATCTCCATACAAACCGCGAACTTGACGCGAATTTGATCTTTTCCCACGTTGATTTTATTCGACACTTTCAGGGCGTAGAGCACCGAACTGAAGTTTGGTAGAGTTATCCCTTGATTTCTGAAAAGGACACAGACCAAAAAAAAAAAAAACACTGACATGACAGTTAAATGCCAGTTTAAAATAGTTGAAGTGGAGTCGTGATCGGCACAACGACCGTTACACTCGCCTGGCTTTGAACTCGGTGTTGTAAATTTCTTTCAGTTCAGATCGAGCTCGAATTGCTGATCTATCGGTTTCCTTCAGAAATGCAAAGAATCTGAGGCCAACTTTAAAGCTTGACTTCTTCTTTGCTGGCATGTTGTTCATTTCAGAGCCGACAAGTTCCTCTCTCTCTTGGGCGGCCTGATGGTCCAGTGGTGAGCACGTCGACCTCACAGTGCAGCGGTACCGGGTTCAATTCCAGCTTCGGCCTCTCTGTGTAGAGTTTGAATGTTCTCCTGCATGAGTTTTCTCCGGGTACTCCGGTTTCTTTCCAACACTCTAAATTCTCCCGAGGTCTGAGTGTGGGATTGGCTGGCAACCGGTTCAGGGTGTCCCTCGCCTACTGCCCAAAGACGGCTGGGATAGGCTCCAGCAGCCCCCGCGAACGTTGTGAGGATAAGCGGATCGGAAAATGGATGGATGGAAGTTCCTCTCTCTCGCTCACTATCGCTCTCAATGCGGAAGTAGTAACAAACCAAGAAAAAGGAGACACCCCCGCCAAGTTGCCGCTAATTTCCTTGTGCAGCCCGGAAGGACGGTGCTTGCACTGTCAAACCGTGAGAGTTAGCCGCAGTCACTCCCGCTGCAGTCGAGGCAATAAAACACGCGCACCCACAAAAAATAACCCCGCCCCAATTCAGAAGAAACGAAACTTAGACCACGGAATTTAAACAAGCAGCGAAAACAAACAGTAAGAAAGAAAAAGAAAACTAATCCATAGCGGTTGGCAAATAATACCGTTTAAAATATTTGCCCGTTCTAAATACGGCACTAATCATCAGCTCTTTCGGAAATGAATGAATGCCATCCATTTGGAAAGTGAAAATAAAATGGAGTAACATAAACGAGAGTGAAAGGTGACTCCTCACGAGACCGCTGCTGCTCCCTTACTCAACACATCCTTTCCTCCTCTGTCTAACAAAGATGCACAGGCAGTGGAGCGTGCTTTTCAGAATGATTATACTTGACTGTAAAGTGAAATATTCAACTACAGTAAATACAGCTGAAAGCACAATGAATGCCCAGTTGCTCGGTTGGTTATATCCACCAATTGACAGCGAATGAAAAAGAGACGCAACTCTTTAGCAACAATACTCAATAGAAAATTTTAGTCAGAGATGGCGTCATGTGTCCCGAAACCTATTTCAAATGTCTTAACTTTTATGTGTAACGCCTGTTCCGCTATGAACGGCGGCTAAGTTCGCCTACTTACACTATATAACCCTGAAAAGCCCTATAGGATCATAAATTTACGGTCTAGAAAAAAAATCAACGAATACCTCTTTCGTTCCTCCAACGATGTCCTCAGGGACAGGTGGTCATGATCAGACGAGTCCCGCGCTGTCCTCAACCGTCCGATCGATTAGTCAGGAATTTTACCAAACTTGTCAGACGGACCAGGCGTCACAGTCTAACTACTGAGCAAATGAAACAAGTTCGAAGAAAGTAGTCTCGGTGAGAGAGCACAGACCGTTCTCACTCTTTAGCGGCCGGTGGTGAAAAAGCATTGCCTTTCAGCGAAACACGCCCACTAGCCCGTAGTTCCCGCCCCCTTTACCAGTAGCAGCCAATTACCCACAGACGTGCTCTTGCCCTTGACGGAGCAGCGGAAACAGCGAATTACCTAAAATGCATTCGCTGGATGTAGTAAACAATAATCTCTTCGGAAAAGTGCGCACATGAAATAACCCTGGGTTGTTACATCTATTGTAGTGTCTGTTTTATCTGTTTTGTGTTAGTTTCATGGAAATACGTTACCTAATCGTAGTAAGTAGGAAAACAGGCAAATGGTTGTCAAGCAGAGAAATGAACATGTCAAACAAATGCATAAGCAAGGAGCAAAATGTATATTGATGATGCTTGTTAGCTATTCCGCGATGGTCGCCATCAGAATACATGTCAAACAGTGCATAGGTAAAGAGCAAAATGCATACTGATGATGCCTGCTAGCTATTCTGCGATGGTCATCATCGGATTAGCAAGGATGCCCACCATTGGATTAGCAAAATGCGTACCGGTAAAGATTGTTGCATGTTCTTCAGTGATTTCATCGGGTTGCCAAGCCAACGAAGACACAATTAAATCTAAAGACTCGCATGCATCAAGTTGCCATGCCTACGGGGATATAGTTATATCTAAAACCTACATGCAATCACACAAAGGCCCGGTAGGGGCCTCTATTGTATTTTAAAAATAAAGCTATTGTGATACCATTATAAATCAGAACCTTGACATGAAGTTGCTTATAGATACCATTAAAATCTAGCCGACAAAGAAGGTCACAGCCAATCAGAATTCCACAACGCATTATGATACTATTAGAATTGATAAATGATCGTCGAGACTCGCCAATGAAATGAGAGGGGTTGGCCCGTCATAACGCTGTAAAACCTGGGTTTAGTCTCGGGAGATTTCAGAGTTTTCCGATGTGCACATCTGTACCTCTCCGGGTTTTGATTGAATAAAACTCGTTTGTGACCAGCCTGAACCTTGGACTCCTGACTAAGTTTGTACTTAGTTTTTGACCAACTCCGGCCTCGAACTCAGAGAAACTTCTGGTGCGTCCCCTGTCTGCGGCTCAACGAAGGAACTTCTGTGTCGGCCCTTGGCCCTCCGCGGATCCCCGGGAGAAGGCGAGACGCCGCCACGCGCCCCTTGTCTCCGGGAGGAGGCGTGGGCCTGACTCAGGGCCGACACTTCACTATCACATCAGTTTTTTTTAAGTTGGACCAGTATAAAATTGGGAAGACAGTCTCTACGTTTAGTTGTAATGTGGAGCTAAAAAAAATCCTCCTGTTGCTGAACCAAATCGTTGCTGAACCAAATCCTTAATTCATAAATATTCCGAAATATATTACTGGTTTACACACACACACACACACACACACACACACACACACACACACACAGATCTTGACTTGGGGCTGAACTATGCCGTTTGTGTTCCTCTGTTTTTGTTGATTGGAGATAACCACTAAACAGAAACCCATATCATACAAAGAGGAGACACTGGCTATAGCTTTGATTGCCTCCTACAGTGGAGTGAAACAGACGAGATAAGAGCAAATGGCCTTGAGCCACAGAAGTTTCACATTCCCGTGAAGACAAAACACTCAGATGGAATGCGGTTGTACTGTACGTTGTGCGGAAACACAGTACCATTTTTTACGTTCGGTTGTCGTGTAAGGACACTTGCATCAGAAAAATATGCTAACGGGATATGGATGCAACTGTGTGCAAGGCTATTTTGTGGCAATCCCCCCCTCCCACGCTTGTAGATATAAAATGTTTTGCAGAATCACACCTTATGAGATCAATGATATCTCTAATGAGAGCAGGGCACATTGGTTTTATTTTCATGCAGATCTGCGAGGAGTTGAGGACTCTGTTGCGTTTTCCATGAGTCATCACAGTGAGCCAGTAACAACAACAACACAGTGACGTGTAGCAACGCCACTCGAATGACGCTCACCTCAGGAGTCGATCGTCCGCTGCTCTCTGCTGCGCGCTGTTGGGGGAAAGCGGCCTCCTTTCCCCCGCGTGTTCGTTGAATTTCGGACGAGGAGAATGTTGGTTCTTCAAATAGAAGCTGGAATCGACGAACAGTTTCTTCAAAGCTTTTAATAACAAAATATTCTGGGCATCAGTGAATTACAGACAATGGCTGCGTGTCACAAGTGTGAAGCAGGAAGAAATTCACATCCTTTTTATATTATCAGAAGGGCGGTACCAAGACACAAGGTGTGACATCATAACTTTCGTTTCTCCTAAACCGATTCTCAGCTTGTATCACCTAGCGCATTCCAATGTTTGTGCGGCCTACAGTAGGGAGTATTCTAATTCTAGGTAATGATTTGCTTCAAGGATGCTAAGCTACACTGCGGGCATGGGAAAGCCACACAGCATGACCAAATATGAGCAGAATAATGGTGATGAACATCCAAGGTATAGAGAGGGTGTCCTCTTACAAGTGCCTGGGTGTTCTTCTCAACAATAAACTTGACTGGTCTACCAACACAGACGCCCTGATCAGGAAGGGACAGAGCCGCCTCTTCCAACTCAGGAAACAGGTCTTTTGGGGTTCAGGGGTCACTCCTTAAGACCTTCTATAACTCGGTGGTGGCTTCGGCCATCCATTATGGCATTGTCTGCTGGTCAGGCAGCATCTCCGCCTCGGACAGAAAGAGACTGGAGCGACTGGTCAGGAGGGCCAGTTCTGTCCTGGGCTGCTCCCTGGACACTCTGGAGGAGGTGGGCAACAGGAGGATGCTAGCTAAGATGGCCAGTCCCTCCCCCTCCCTCCAGCCCGCCCTGACAGCACTGGGTAGCTCCTTCAGCCAGAGACTGTTACACCTGCGCTGCAAGAAGGAGAGATACCGCCCCTCGTTCCTACCGACTGCTGTCAGTGTTGTGTTCAAATAAACGCGTGGAGTCTGAGCCTGTGCTCACTGCCGTTTCTTGCCAGTAGTCACCTTTTTATATCAACACTTTACGGCCGTGACGTCACGCCGTCGTAACCTGACCCTGTGGCTATGGTTACATGCCACATTCACCCCCCTTTTTTTAAAGTGCAAAAAACATTCAAACAATATTAACAGGACACCACTTTAAGGCCAGAACGTGGCCAACCTATCTGGGTAAACAGGGTAGACTACCTGTTTACCTGCATCGTCATGTGGTTTATTCTGCCATGTAACAGACTATGCCTAACCCGCGGGTGGTACAGGGCCGTCCTGATGTGCTTGATCCCTCTCACCCCCGTGAAGGCAGCGAAGTCAGCCGAGAGGAACTGGGGCCTGTTGTCCGTGGTAAAACGGTGTCTGGCACACCCCAGCAGGCAAACAGGCAGGAAAGAAAGCCAGTGATTTGCTGAGTGGTTACTGACCCCACGGGA